TAGCCAGGGGGAAAGTATAGGTGAATTTGCTCTTGGGATCTGCGGGTCTGCTACCAGCATTACAAATAACTGATGTGTCAAATGTTCCTTTGAACTTTGTAGTTTGTTTTTTTATATCAAACTGGCACCCTCTTCGCAAGTTATCCAGTTTTTCAGTGAAAACGAGTGTCATCGGGTCAAATTGCACTGCCGTATATTCCATCATCAAAGAAATCTCAGGACTTTCAATTTTCTCCTGCAGCCCTATGAGACGTTCTGCCAACAACTTTTTTGTTACTGTCCTCGATGTCTGAGTGATTTCACTAGATTTGTTAGTACTAGAGGTACATGGAACATGATTTATATCAGCGCGTTTTTCCGCATCATTTGAGCCAGGGTTTTCACTGATTGTGTGCAACGATTGGGATTGTCCGAGGATTGACCTGATCTGGTACAGGTTCACTATTTCCATAAGAACCTGCGGACTCCATTTGCAGCGGAACTGCGTAGACTTCTTCCAACTTCTTTGAACGTTTCTTGTATGTCTCTGTTACGGAAAAATGAGTATGGAAGAGAAAAATTTGAATAAAAATAGACCACGAGCAGAAAGAAAATTCAAACTTACTGAGATATTTTAATGGTTTTACTTTAAACTTTTCTCCTGTAGCTTTATATTCCTTCGTGTCCTTTATCAGCTCAGTCCATTGACAATATTCTTCTTTGGGTGGGAAGTAGCAATAACATTTTGACGCATCATCAGAATGGAGCATTAACCAACTATAAGGCACCGATACGAGCGATTTCTTCCCGTTGACTTTTTCTTTCGCAAATTCCACCACTGGATAATGCCTTTTTTTCTCATCCCCCTGGGCAATCATTGTCGCATTCAATTCGATAATGTTTTTTCTCCTCTGAAATTTATCAAGTATCGAGTTGAACGAGTTCCGAACGCAAAACAAAATCAGGTTATATTTCGTTGTATTGTTGTTCACTGTTTCACTGTTTATTAGGCATCAAACTAATCGATGTCTACTGGTTCGTCTCTCACCTGAATTACAAAAACTTTTAAAACCAACCCAAAAATGTATTTTTCACTTTTACATGCGAATCTACTCTCGGCATGCATCAGACCCGGCAACCACCATGTTGTTCTCCGGGGTTCTCATGGAGGCACGCACATTTTAGACGCCGGTTTCGACAATCTCTCTCACTCTATCTTTAAACATGTTTCATTCAACAAACACATCGTGTTCAGACATCCATCACAAAGGCCACTAGATATTTTCGCTTCTAATTTATACCCTAATATTGGAGAGTCATTAACAACACCTGTTCGTGTTATTTGCCCCGTTTAGATGCGACACTTATTTTGGGTTATTGGCCACTTATTCACACTTATTTGTGTTATTTGCCACAGTTAGATGTGACACATCTTATGATGCACAAAACAGAACAAATATTATCAATATACAGTATATACTATATTAATCACATTTGCCGAAAGAGAAGAAGTTAGAACTAATATTATCTGCTTGGAGGTGTTGAAGATGCACATACACAGGCAGACACAGACCATATATATACTAAATTTCTAAATCCATTCTAATATTTCAAAGCTACGAATATTATAAATTTATAAATTATTCATTAAATTTTAAATTATTTATTATTTATTAAAATAAATTATTGATTAAAAGATATTCGAACTCTGCTGAAAGCTGGTTGACGTTTGTGGAACCAAACCTCACAAGATAGCCTTCAACCAGTATTGGATCATGTTCGATTATCAAATGCCAACTGTGAATATCTACTAGAATAAGTTACTGATTGAAGATTGAACTTGAGCCAGGCTCGGCTGAGCTTTGGATACCGACGCTTGGGTAACAGGCTTGATCCAACGCTGAGCAGAGTTCGGCTGTCAGAGCTTGAACCCCATGCTATTATGAGCTGAGCCGAAGAAGGCTTTCACTATTGGCTGAAGTACGGTCCAAACTTGTTTGCTGAGAGGGTGAATAACCATTCGAACTGAAAAAATCTAAATATCTGAAAAAAAGTACTATTTGTATTATCGAATATCTCCGTCATGTGCCTCTAGGGAGTAAAGTATTTTCTGACGAAATGTGAGTTTATAACCCGAGCTGAAAGCATGAGTCAAAAAATACTTTTATGTCCGTGAGACACACGATATTTTATTCTCATAGTGACTGGAAACTGCGATCTAACCGAGCAAAGCGAGAATTTTTGGAAAAAACTACCGTCTGTCAAACCAAGGACCCTGTTGTAAATAATACTACATATAATATAATCTAATGAATGAACAAACGATTCTCACAACTTGCCTCACATGTTATAAGAATCATAGTAACAGAAGAAAATTCAAATTCAATGAGTGACTATGCACTAGCAAACATAAGCATGTTCTCGATAAAGCATACATGCCAAACTGTACAACCATAATATTTACTATCAGCGTGTACAAATAACGAATCCGACCACGTATCCGAGAAGCTTTTTATGAAGAAGAACTTAGTAGGGTAAAATATCCAAATATATAGTGTCTCCCATTTAAAACAATACATCTGAATATTTCCTAAGTGACGGAACATTTTTAAGGACGTAAAATGTATGGTTCCGAAGAGGACATTTGATACCGGCATGTTTCTTTAGCTTTCGAAGTCATGTTTGCAGGAGGCAAGCATAAGACATTGTTTTGGTAAATGTTAAGATGAAGGGCCTCACCTATTTTCCTTCACCACGCGTTTGAAAATTGAAATTCGTAGAATATTTCGTTGGATTACTGATGTATAAGTGCCGTGTCTGATTTTTCATCGTTTTATGAAATAATCTTTTTTCAAAGGGTTATCGCATTATTCACCCCTATGAAACGTGTTTTTATTGATGGGTTATTCTCAACTACCAAATCATATACAATACGAATTCCTTCGATTTTACTTGACAAATGTGACGAGAATGAGCTCTGTTATCAAACTAAAGATTCACATACCCTTGATGCATGTTGGTGTGGATGATGTTCCGCTAAACCATTCATCAATCGTCCCTATGGAATACAAACAATAACAAAGTATTCCCTAATACCTCGAGCATTCTCTTTGAAATAATTTCAATTCAATCAGAATCGGAGTCAGGATTTTACTTCGTATGATTACCACTGGTAGGGTCTCTCAATGATGTTGTGAATTACGTGAATCGACCGACCATTCCGATAGTCTTCCAGAGAGACCCGTCAGAAAGGCTATAGGAAGCGTTCTGCCCCAACCTCATTCAACGGTTGTTGGAAATTTTTCCTGCCGAATTGATTTGGGCTTGTAAGTCAGTGGTGGGAACATTGAATAACTTATAAACTTCCGCACATGTTTGCGTTGTTTTTCATCTGATTTCATTCCGTGTAAGGAATGCGAGTAGACTTTACCTCCGCGTGGTGTATCCTGGGTTACGCTAAGAAAGGCTGACTCTTCAGTTTAATACAAGAACTAAGTTTCGTCCCCCATGACTGATGCGGTATCTGAAAATGATAAAGAGAACCAATTCCATAGTGGTGGAAATGCTATTGCCACATAAAAGAAAGCTCTTTGTGTTCGTAACTTGTAAGCATGACCTTGAAAGCTCAAAAAATACACGCTTAAAATGTCCCACTCGGAACCCTACAACATAAGTCTCTGAAAATTTCCTGTCACTTGCCTTCCTTAGGATATATTTAGATGCATTGTTTCAAATGGGACACGATGTATATTTAGTAGGGAATATAATTTAAAAGCGCAACAAGAAGGTTTTTGTGGAGTCGTTAGACTTTGAGTATACGTGTAATGCTTGGGAGGATGATGGGTATATCATATGAGTGGAGATACTCAAATTATAATGCTCATGTCATTAAAGTTGTTCATTTATCATTTACTATATCAGACATTATATGATCACAAGTAAACCAATGAATTCATCCATAATTCGTCAATTCCACTCATCCTTCATCAAATGTTAGACATCTTTATTGATCATGTTAATGCCATAAATATTATGTGCAGAATAATTGCATGTATCGATTTTTTTTATTATCCAGTTTATTGCAATTGTAGAAATTTCGAACAGCGAAGTTATATATTACATTACCTACTGCGCACTTCGTGCGCCGAATTTGGATTTGGTGGTTCGGGTTGACCACTGAGGAATTTGTCCTACGCGTTTGGAGATATTGCAAGTCAGGCGAACTTCATTTTTGTATTTCTGCTTTCATAATAAGGAAACTGTCTGTATTTGTATATAATAAGTTTGCTCTGTTCTGGAATGTTTTTTTTTGTTGAAAGAATGTTTTTATTGAAAGCAAATCAACAATGGAGAAGCACACGCAGAGAGGTGTATTGAAATATACTTTAGTTTGCCTCATTTTAATAATTATCAGATAATCATCATCATCGAATAAAGTACTGCTATGAAAATTCGGTTTAGTTATTAGAGCTTTCGCACCGTATCGACCATCCCATTTGGTGACTGATCGCAAATCTTTCCGTTTGTGAAAATTGTTCATTGTTTTTCCCAAGACATCATTGTTCATTAATTAAACTTTTTTTTTTCGAAATCATTGGTAGCCTGCTTTACGAAATCCTTATTGAAATCCATATACGGCTTCAAACAAGGATGTTGTTTGAATTTTGAAATTCTGTAGACTGCCTTCAGCTTCATATTCAACTTTAGATATTGTTGCAAATTTCGGTAATGAATTATATTTTTTTCTCTCGAAAGGGATATTATTAATTTCGCAACCTTACTGCCTGGAGTTACATAATGTTCGTGGCATATTAGAAATCCACTTCGAATATATACCCAATGCTCGGATCAAGTGAATAAATAATGGGAAACGTGCCTCACATTTTTTCATATTAGGGATTTTCAGGCACTATCGACATATGCGTGTAAACTCAGCCTCAGGGCATTCAAGGCTACTTGTTTTATACGTTTTTCATTTCAGTCGTACTTGTTCATTCATAACTTTTAAATTTATTTTCCAGGTATCCATTGCTATCCTTCAACACGCTGTTGAAAATGTGGCAAGCTCGCAGATTTTTCAAACTTACCGTTCTGGGGGCAGCCTCCTTAGGTACTTTCGCTTCCCTTCGTAACAATGAGTATGACATCAGCTCCATTGGTATCGTCCGACTGTCACGAGCCGCTTCATCAGTTTTTATCATCGGTTCAAATTATCGAAAAACTCTCTATTCTACTTCTTTCCCTAAGGACTCTCCAGAATATATTCAATTAACATCGTCAGCTCATTCCTTTGGTGCAGCACAATTGCTCGAGCTGTGCTGTGCCAACAAAGGTGTCTACATTAAAGTGGGCCAACACATTGGTGCTCTGGAATATCTTCTTCCTAAAGAGTACGTACAGGCCATGAAGATACTACATAGCAAGGCGCCTCAATCCTCTTTTAATGATGTTCTTATCGTCTTGAGAGAAGACTTACAAAAAAACCCTTACGAAATTTTCACCACAATTGATCCTGAACCAATTGGAGCTGCTTCCCTCGCCCAGGTTCACCGAGCTGTTCTCAAAGATGGAGCAGTTGTTGCCGTTAAAGTCCAGCACAGATCAGTGAAGACCAACTCTTACGTGGATATCAAGACCATGGCGGCTTTGGTGAAAATTTGCTCGTGGATATTTCCAGAGTTTAAATTCGACTGGCTTGTTGACGAGACCAAGAAAAACATCCCCAGGGAACTAGACTTCTATCATGAGGGGCAAAATGCAGAAAAGGTTTGTGCAAAACGAAAATTAAGACGAAACAACCTGTTCATTTTCGAATTCATACCCTTCATGAGAAAACTGTGAACACTAGTTTCGCTTAATGAGTAAAACATAAATGATAACGTGATATATTTTCATTATTTCCACAAACATAAGATTGACCTAACGCTTGTAGTTTTATTCATGGTGGGTACTCCTTACTTGAAATCCCCCCATTGATATCTATGAAGATATCAATTGATATTTATTAAGGATAAATATGAATTTTTTCACGTAAGCTTGTGATAATTAAAAACTTATGGTATATTGATGGTTTTTTACATGGCCATACCACTAATGAGTAGGGGCTTAATTGTACCCAGCTATATTCGCTCCAACAACAAATCGTACTGCTAGATATCTGATGAATTTTATTTCATGAATTCTGCATGAAACCTGTAACCTCCCAATTAACCCGAAATTTCGGTTTATTTTATTTTGTTCTTTGTTAATTTCATCAGTTTTTCCTGCATACTCCGGGCAAATAAGTTAGTTTCAGACTGCTACAGTGATACCAGTACCAGTTGAGGGTAAAAACACAGTTTCTATGGTCACGTAATTTTCAAACTATCTATCACGGTGCTGCCTTCAGGTAACAACGATCCCGCACTCGCAAAAAAAATTGCTATTATTACTACTTAATTATTTTTTCATTTAATAAATAAGGGAAATCCTCAGTAATCTACTGATGATCGATTGTCTATCAATTGATTAAAGGAGGACAGAAATGTTCAAAAACAAATGACTAAAATTTATATAGCCATTTTTATGCTCCTATTAAAAGACTTAGGTATTATAGTAGATAGGGTGTATAACCAGTGTGCGATAGGGCGTAGGTTCGACTCTCGTCGGGCAAAATTTGAGATCGTGAATTAGGTTTTTTCAGGATCGATATCGTTGCCGTCGTGGTTAGGGATAACTACCCAGGTAGACATCGACGACGCGAACAGGGCTCACGAAGCCCTGATCCAAGGCTCAGAAATGCTCAAGCAGGGCTGCAGTCCACGCCAGGACCAGCCCTCCTTAAGCCCTAAAATGATAACACCGTCTAAGGCCTCCGAAGCAAAGCCTGTCGCAAGGCTCTCAGAGTGGGTTCCCGGAAGCCTTGAAGAACAAAAATGCAAGGCCTGAGAAAAGCCTCGATGAGTGTTTTCTTCTGATAATAGGACGCCCATAGCGAGGGTTACCTGAGGCTTGTTTCAGGCTGTTATGGTTATGGTTATGGTTAAAAAATACGGATAGGCATTTGCTGCCCTCTTGTCACCGAACCCCTACTGGGCTATTGTGGCTCCGTTGTCCTTCTATAATTCTAGGCCAGCTTTTCTCACCAGTTTTAGTAGATTCCCGGCGTCTAGATCCGCTACATAGCTGATGCTAGGGAAGGCGGTTCCCCAGCAATTTAGCCTTGTTGTAGACAGTGCAGGGCAGCTACAAAGTATGTGCAGGCTGTCCTCGTCTGCCTCAAGGCATAGTCTGCAGCGGGCATCGCTT